GATGTATCTTCTACATGAAAGAAATAAATAGTAGTGTCTTTGTGCGAAATTATCCACTTGTGTATATCAATGCGATCCTTCAATTTCACATACAACTCTTCTAACGTAGAAAATCCGTTTTTTTCATCAAACGTTTTTCTCGATTCTATGCTGCTTGCAATTGCTTGCTCGATCAAAAAATTCTCCATCTTTAAACGTTTCTTTGCTGGGCTTTCTCGATGAGGTGCTTCACTTTCTGTTAAGTATTGAGGATTGTATAGCAACTGACTTGGAACAGCGTCTGTAACAAAAAATGCAATGAGAAAAGGAATACTATTTCATTGTCTCGTTATGGGGAATATTGAATTCCAAGTGTTAATATTTGTAATTTCATTCTTGTAATTCATAAATATAACTAAAGTACTATCTTGTACTAAAGTATTATCTTGATGAAAACAATAAACATGTAATTGAGATAAATACAATTAGAATATTAAAATATTGCAGCTGTAGAATTTTTTGAAATATTTTGAAACTACTTTTAATTAAACGTGGATGTCGCAATGGAGCAGTTAACAATTTCCCATTAGCTTCATTATAATGGCTCGTTTCTCGTTCAATATCGTAAGAGTGAAAATGTAATTCGCATACCTAAAACATGATGATGAGTAAAAACAAGTGTAATGCATAAATTTTTGTCTTGAGATTATTTATAAATTAACAAATTGATCGTTAACATATTATTTATAATATTAATTTTATTTATAAATATATTGAATTAACTTACTTTAGAACTATTTGTAGGACAAAAATTCTGTCGACAAATAGCACGTAACCATTTTTTTTTTATTTCTTCATTTTTTGGAAAAGAAAACGTTGCAACCTTTGGCCCATTTTTGTAATTGCCATTACAATTTGGCACACAACATTTGAAAGGCATTGCTATAAAAGAAATACATAATTTCAATAATAAAGAAGTATGATCCAAATCTAACCTATTATTGTCAGTTTTCTAAATACGTTTATAATTCGGTAAATTAATAAAATTATGACTTACCTCAATAATACAGGCATTCAGCAACTATCCACAACAAAAAATTATTACTAAAACGCACTACACTGTTCAAAAATTCGCGTTTTACATTACAAGACTGAACGACAAATGGCCTACTAGTGATGACGTCATGACTTCAGTGGAGAGGCCTTGTATATAGGTGGTGTTGGTTTACAAAGACAACGCGGCTGGAAGTCGCTGCTACCGCAGACTCTGCGGCACAGACTCGGTCCTCGCGTGACTGGACAAACAAGTGGCACGTCGAGGATGTTTGTTAATGATAATGACCATTAGAACGTCGTGTCCGGCCGCGCGCACGGTCCCCTCGCGAGATGATTCTTCCACTTAGCGCTCGGTGCGCTTGTCGAGAGCTCCCGTCTTATGTTTGCCCGACGATAACAAAGGATGCGTTTCGGTCCCGCGAACATCTCTCCGCTCGCTCCCGACGCACAAGAGAACACAGACGAGTGAATTGTAGCGATTCGATTGATATATACGCGTTTTCGTTTGGACAAATATTTTCATTAACTTCGCCGAAGCCCGCGCTTGTTTATTTCGTACTTGGCCCTGTCGATTGAATCCCCTCTGAAGAGGGCTTGTCCGTTTCAACGATTGACATTTTTCACTCGCGTAGTGCTAAAAAAGATCTCCACACGATGAATATTATTATGCGATGAAACGTAGCGCAGTATTATTCATCAAAAGTGATACATGGCTAAAGGCCGAGTTATATCAATAATATGAATTTATCATTTAATACTGAAATACATTAATGCAAGAATTAATAAGATAAAAACACAGGATTACGCAAATTTATTAAACTCTATATATAAAGATAAAAAATAATAATCGTTAATTAAAGTGTGAAAAACATAATATTAAAAATTGATGGTTAATTTAAATAAATTTTAATTTCGATTTTTATGAAAATTAATTGAATAAAAATAATAATAATTACAATAATCCTTTTCTCTTGTTGTAGACGCGTTAAATAATTAATAAAATTAATTAACATTGCGTTCATAAAATTATTTTAAAAATTTGAAACAAAAATGTGATTGCTAATTATGTCGACTTTTTTATCAGTTTAAAATTAAATAAATTTAAATTTTTATTTAAGAAACTTTGGAACGTTAAAAAATTGTTATTATCTTCTTCATGCAATTTTGTAACGTTGATTCGATTGTAGCTCTACTAGTATTTTCATATTTCCGAAATTATTAATATTTAAATCTGTAAATAATATACCTGACAGTTTACCGAGAATACCTTAAAGATTCGCGAAATGCTCGAATCAGGCTTTCGTAAACTTCATAACTCACGAATTTCTTCGAATCGAGGCCTTGGCCTTTGGTCGCTTATGGAATTCATTGTGAATACGCGAGATCCCACGGGGTTTCTCCTAGTCACTGCCATTAGTAACGTGACGAATTTTACACGTTGGTGAGAATTACATTAGAGTGGAATGACTCGCACGAGAAGGCCCTTCCTCCTCATCGAAGGGACACTTCCCCGAGCGTTTATAAGCGTACGAAATTAATTCCATCGTCCGATTCCGGATCGCAGCCAACAAAAAAAAAAAAACTACTGTTATTTATTTCTCCTCTCATCACGCAGTGATATGATTTTTAATCCGCAATATAATTTCAATAATTATTCGTGTTAACGCGTATTATCGCTTGTTCGAAAATTACGCACCTGTCGTTGTGCTCAAAGGAATCCCGAGCATTAATCGCTTTTGCGCGACGTACAAAGCGTGCGATGCTATTTACAAGCTAACTTTTGCGTCATTCACGCGTTTCTAGAGTATTTTCATAAAGTCGAGGAATACGCAGTTGAAACAGTGGAAACGGTGTCGACGAAAATAAATTCTGCGTTAGCGCGATTATTCATAGAATATTTAAAGACGCTCGGCTTTAAAAAATTATAAACTATTTTCAGCATTATTTAGAACAATGCCAAAATAAACTGTAGCGAATTTTACTTAGAGAAAATTTCAATATTACGATACTTGTTTAAATAATTTGATTCAAAAAAAGATGCCTTTTATTAATTGCAGCGCAAATCACTTATAACTGCGTAGTGCTAATAATTTATATAAGAGTTTATTTTGTCCCTGGATACCTTCGGTCTTCCAGGAACTGCTGTTTCCTAATCGAGTTAGGGCAATAGGATCTCTAACGGCAAGATGGAGGTGTTAATGCGATCAAGTCCCGCAAACAAACGGTGTCATTAAATCCTCGCGATGGTTTCGCGGAGGCCTTTCGAGGACGAGAGAGGCCCCGGAGAGACGACAACAACCGTCCACGGACGCGCACACGCGTGCGTTCGCGCGCGTGTGTGCGACGACGGGGCAACCTTGCCCCGTCCGTGCATAAACAAAATGGCCCATAAAACCTCGAGGCGCTAATCCGCGCAGAATGCCGCCGCGAGAATA